CAGGCCCTCGGGTTTCCGGGGGGGGGGGCCGGTATTCTTAGCGGGCCCCTCCCCCTTCCCCCCCCCCCCCCCCCGCCCTTCCTAGCATGCGGGGGGGAGATGGGGTCCCACGGCCCGCCGCAGGCGCCGATTTTTTTGAGATTTTTTTCGCGCGATTTTTTACTTGTTTTCATGGGAATTCGGCGTATTGCGGCCATGCTATCACGCCTTGCGACAGCCTGTCGGCGCTGCTGGCCGTGCCCTGCTGCACAATTGATCACCTGCATAGCTCGCGGCCTTAGTATCAAGCATTCAGTGTCGACCTGATCGTACGGTCAGTAGGAAGGTGTCCTTCCAACGTGTGCACGCTTCTGGCGCAATGCGCGTCGCCTCGGATTGGCTGCTGGCACTCTCGAGGCTATGCCTACGCAGCCTCGCGCGCATGGGCAGTCAAGAGGGACCACGCACCTTCTCAGGACAGCGCCGGTACCTCTCTCTTGGACCGGCAAACTTGGTGGTCTCGTGTCACCAATGTGGGACCAGTGCGGCATCGCGCCATCGACAGCTCTGAACTGCGCCTCACCACTGACCGGGAAGGCCGCCAAGTGGGCCAGCACAGGTCGCACATTGTGGCAGCAGTCAGCAGTGCATGTCTGATAGCTAGAGCAGCAGCGTCAGGGTCGCAGGGTCGGATCGTGTCAAGCCTCTCGCCCGGCCGGCCGCGTGCAGACGTCGGCCTGTCTGCTGTCTGGAGTGATCTGTCGGCGGTCAGTACGACCGATCAGGTTAGAGTTTTCTGATGGTTGGAGGGTCTATCTGTATGTACCCCTTGAGATCTCTCCAAATCTGCCCTCTGTTAGACGGGTTAGATCGGGAAGTCGGTGCTAACGGATACTAACGGAGCCGTGGCCCCCCGTTTCTCCGCACTGCGCGCACTGCGCCGCGCGGCGCACGGTGCCTCCGGGGGCCCCCGCGCCCCCCCAGAGGCGTCCTCGTCATCGACATCGGCGTCGTCTTCCTCGGCGTCGTCGTCATCTTTGTCGTCAACATGATTTGGTTCGCGCGGGCGCGCGGGCCGCCGGTTTTCACGAACTCAGACCGTGGAGTCCGCGTGAAAGCCGTATTACTCTTGGAGAGTATAACTATCAATCACTACTCGCCCACCCCCGCTGCCCGCCTTGATTCCTTCTCGTCCAAATCACCTTGCTTCCTACTCGTCCGAATCGCTATCCTCTCCGTCGCTGCTGCCCTCTCCGTCAGAGGAAGCAGGCGTGGGCGGCCGGCTCGCCCACATCTCGATCTTCTTGGGCAGCGGCTGGTTCGACAAGTCCTCTCCGTGGCCTAGGCAGCCGCGATCACCCTTGCCCCAAGTAAAGACGGCAACATCGGCGGTGCGGGCGATGCTGTGGCCGCCCCCTGCCGACACAGCGACGACGCGCTGCCCAGCAAAGGCCTCGACCTTCTTGGGCAGCAGCTGGCTCTGCTCGTCGCCGTGGCCCAGCCGGCCGTAGGCTTCATAGCCCCAGCTCCAGAGAGCGCCATCGGCGGTAACGGCGAGGCTGTGGTAGCTTCCCGACACGGCGACGACGCGCCGGCCAGCCAAGGCATCGACCTTCTTGGGCAGCAGCTGGCGCTGCTCGTCGCCGTGGCCCAACCTGCCATGGTAGCCATTGCCCCAGCTCCACAAAGCTCCGTCGGCGGTGATGGCGAGGCTGTGGAAGCCTCTCGCCGAGACAGCGACGACACGCTGACCAGCAAAGGCCTCGACCTTCTTGGGCAGCAGCTGGTTCTGCTCGTCGCCGTGGCCCAGCCGGCCTGAGGCTCCATGGCCCCAGCTCAAGAGGGCGCCGTCGGCGGTAATGGCGAAACTATGGGCGGATCCAGCCGACACAGCGACAACGCGCTGGCCAGCAAAGGCCTCGAGCTTCTCGGGCAGCGCCAGGCTCTGCTGGTCGCCATGGCCCAACCTGCCATAGTAGCCACTCCCCCAGCTCCAGACAGCGTCGTCGGCGGTGATGGCGAGGTTGTGAGCCTCTCCAGCCGAGATAGCGACAACGCGCTGCCCCGCCAAAGCCTCGAGCTTCTTCGGCAGGAGCTGAGCCTCCTCGTAGCTGTGGCCCTCCTCGTAGCTGAGGCCGTGGCCCAACCGGCCCCAGCCTCCATAGCCCCAGCTCCAGACACAGCCATCCGCGGTGAGGGCGAGGCTGTGGCGCTCTCCAGCCGACACGCTCACGGCGCGCTCGCCGCCCAAGGGGGAGGGGAGGCGCGTCGGCGTGTTGAGCTGCGTCACGCCCTCACCGTGACCGAGCAGGGCTGGAGAGTAGGACGGCGCAGATCCGCAAGACGAGAGCCGCCCCTCGCCGTCGATGAAGAGGCTGTGCCGTTCGCCTGCCGCCGCCCTCGCCGGCGCGTTGGACTCGCGCAGCAGCGCCGAATAGCACAGCCACCGCACGGCGCAGGTCTCGCCCTCGGGCTGCGCCGGCAGCTCGAAGCCGCGCTCTTGCGCCCACAAGCGGATGCCCTCCACCGCAAGCGAGGCGTGGAAGAGCAGCGAGACGGCCGCGACGCGAGCGATGTCGACGGGGCTGTCGCAACGAGAGAGGGCGCGCTCGAGGAGCTCCCTGGGGAGGTCGAGGAGGCGGGCGGGCGGCGGCGTCTCTGGCGAGGGAGCGGTTGTGGCGGCGGCGGCGGTGGCGAGGCGGCGCGAGCAAATGGACATCGCGAGAAAAAGAAAAGCCGGCTGGCCTGAGGCTTGCTACGCCGCGATGGTCTAGCGCTTCATTTTTGTGCAAGCCACGCACACCTGGCGATGCCACCGTGTAGCGCATGCGGCGTGGACCGCGCGAAGAGTGACTTCACCAGCTCACAGCTGAAGCTCAAGGCGGCGCGACGGTGCAAGGCGTGCGTCACTGGGGCACCAGTCACAGCGCAGCCTCGGTCGATCGCGGGCGCCTTCATGACCGCTGCTGAGCTACCGTCAAGTCTGGTTGATGCTAGCCGCCTTAGACTGGCCCGTGTCTACATGGACCACGACTTTCCGGTCAAAATGAGTGATGGCTCTCCAAAGCAGATCCCCGCAGCTGCGCTGCAGTGCGCCGATGCGTCCGAACTGATGCGCACTTTCGGCTACGGCGCAGGCGGTTTCATGGGTGAGGTGCTGTTCTGGAAGCGCCACCACGGAGTGCTGCTCGGCAAGCAGAAGTGGGAATGCCACAGCGACGAAGGCCCGGAGGGCGACACGGCCGCAATGAGCGAGCTGTGGGAGGCGCGGTGGCTGTTCGCGTCGAGCGCCGAGGCGCGGCGCTTCCACGCGGACATGCTCAGCGCTTCGCGCGGCGAGCGTGGATGCGGCTACCTCGACGGGCCCGAGCCGGGGCTCGAAGACACGCGCGGCGCATGCCGCGAACGCCCCGACGTCTTCTCGGGCGCACTCTGCGAGGCGGGCGGCGCGGTGGAGGGTCTGGTCGTCTCGAGCAACGAGCCACGCCCGCTGCCCAAGCGAGGCGGGCTGCGCTCGCCGGAGGTCGGCCGAGCGCCAACCCAGTACCTGCAGCAGCACTCGGCCGCCTTCGTCGTCGATCGCGTGGTCGCGAAGCTGTTCGTCGCCAGCGGCATCAACGCCCGCGATGCTGCGGGCCGGCACGTCGGCGTGACGCCGGCCGCCTTCGTCCAGCTCGTCCGCGTGGCCTCCGAGGCCATCTCGCGCTGGCTCGCACACGGCCGCACGCCAGGCACGGCGGTGAGCTTCGATGCCTTCTTCGAGCAGCTGCTGCGATCTGGCACGATCTCGGAGGCGCAGTTCGATCGGATCACGGACGAACTGGCGAATGGCTGCAAGACGGAAGCCGAGCTGGTCGCCGAGTGGGCCGCCGCGACGGGGAGTGGGCCGCCGGGCGGTCCAGACGGGGAGCAGCGGCCGAAGGCGCGCTCGCACGGCTCGCTGGCAGCGGAGGTGATGGGCGAAGGCGTGGCCCTCCGTCCAGGAGGCAAAGTTCGCATCGTCGGTCTGCAGGGGCGGAGGGACCTGAACGGGCTGTTTGGCGAGGTGGTCTCGCTCGGCGACGATCCGCACTCGGAGCGACTGACCATCAAGGTGAAGGGCGTCTCCACTGGCAGCGGGCAAATCAACGTAGTGAGCGGCGAGTATCCATACCAGTGCGTGCGTATCAAGCCGGCAAATCTCGTGCCGGTCTACGACACGCCGCAACACGAGACGCAGGGGCTGTGCCCCATCTGCATGAGTGTGGAGATGCGCACGATTCTGGACGGCGCGCAGAACGCGACGATGATGACGTGCTGCGGCAAGCCGATCTGCCTCAAATGCTTGTACGAGATCGAGACGGGCCCGGTGAGCCCCCGCCACCGCCCCGCCGCCACCGCCCCGCCTGCGCGACGCCGCGCTCGCCTGGCCTGTGTAGCAGTGTAGCAGTGTGCTCTGAGCGGGCAGCTGACAGAGACGGACTGACGGTCGCCTCTGTTGCCCGTGCGATGTGCAGCTGCGCGACGTGTGCCCGTTCTGCCGCGCGGACACGTCCGACACGAGCGACGAGGCAACCGTCCGCGGCCTGACGCGACGGGCGCAGCAGGGCGACGCGAGCGCCCAGTACAACCTCGGCTGCCACTACGACTACGGGCGGATGGGCCTCCCGCTCGATCAAGTCGAGGCGCGGCGCTTGTACCAGCTAGCGGCGGAGCAGGGGCACGCGCGTGCCGCCGCCAACCTCGGCTGCTCGCACCGTGACGGCGAAGGTGGGCCCGTTGACCTTTCGCAAGCAGCGCACTGGTTCAAGGTGGCAACGGACCTCGGCCACACGCAGGCGTGCACGAACCTCGGAATCGCGTACATGCGTGGCGACGGAGTGCCGCAGAGCCGCATGGAGGCGATCCGCTACCTCACGCGAGCTGCGAATGCGGGCGATGAGCTCGCGGCGAGGCAGCTCATGCGCATGGGCGTGCAGCCGTGACCAGGCCGAACATGACCAGTCGAGCAGGAGCATCAAGCTGTGAGAAGCCTCCAGCTTCTGGGCCCTCCCAGCGCGTCCAGGGCGCGGGTCGAGCCTCGCAGGGTGTATTTTGCATGTAGAGTTGCGAGGGGGGGCGTGGGGGGGGGGGGGGGGCGGGACTACCACAAAAAAATGCGACTCCTCAAAAAGAATCATGTTCATGTCAGTAACAGCGTCACGTTACACCAGAAGAGCGAGACACGGCACAGGTGACTAGACGCTCTCATCGACGCACGCACAAGAAGTGCTTCATTGTTCTAATGTACCGTGCTCTGCTGTCTCGGACCAGACTAGGACAGACTACAGGCATGGATCGAGCGGGACGCTCAAGCGTCAACCGTCAAGCAAGACAATCCCACTCACTCCGCGCGCCGCAAGCCCGCCTCCACGTCGGTCACGCCCCTACCCTCGCCACGGCCGTTGCACTACCGGACGCGGGCCCTCCTCCTCCTCGTCCATTGCGAGGCCATCGACGGTGCACGCGAGCACGGGTGGCGCGTCGATCTGCGCAGGCGGATCGCGAGGCACAGTCCCCTGCCAAGCCGCTTCGACGATCGCCTGGTGCGGCCTGGCGGACGCCGGCCGCGCGGCCCTCACACACCCAACCGCTCCGGCGCCCACGCCTCTATCTTCTTGGGCAGAAGCTGGTTCGACAAGTCATCTCCGTGGCCTAGGTTGCCTCCTCCTGCCCCCTCCAAATCCCCCCCATTGCCCCAGGTAAAGACAGCGCCGTCGGAATTGGTGGCGATGCTGTGGTCGCCACCAGCCGACACAGCGACCACACACCGCCCAGCGAAGGCCTCGACCTTCTTGGGCAGCAGCTGGTTCTGCTCGTCGCCGTGGCCCAGCTTGCCCCAGCCTCCACAGCCCCAGCTCCAGACGGCGCCGTCGGCGGTGAGGGCGAGGCTGTGATCTTCCGCCGACACAGCGATGACGCGCTGGCCAGCCAAGGCCTCAACCTGCTTCGGCAGCAGCTGCCTCTGGTTGTCGCCGTGGCCCAGCTTGCCATCGCCCGCACCGCCCCAGCTCCAGACGGCGCCGTCGGCGGCGAGGGCGATGCTGTGGCTGTCTGCTGCCGACACAGCGACGACGCGCCGGTCAGCCAAGGCCTCGACCTCCTTCGGCAGTAGCTGGTTCTGCTCGTTGCCGTGGCCCAGCTTGCCATAGTCTCCATCGCCCCAGCTCCAGACTGCGCCGTCGGCGGTGAGGGCGAGGTTGTGAAGTGTTCCAGCCGACACAGCGACGACGCGCTGCTCAGCAAAGGCGTCGACGCTTTTGGGCAGGAGCCGGCTCTGCGCGTCGCCGTGGCCCAGCTGGCCAGAGTATCCCTCACCCCAGCTCCAGACGGAGCCGTCGGCGGTGACGGCGAGGCTGTGCAATTGTCCAGCCGACACAGAGACGACGCGCTGGCCAGCAAAGGCCTCGACCTTCTTGGGCAGCAGCTGGTCCTGCTCGTCACCGTGGCCTAACTGGCCAAAGACTCCATCGCCCCAGCTCCAGACGGCGCCGTCGGCGGTGAGGGCGAGGCTGTGGCGCTCTCCAGCCGACACGCTCACGGCGCGCTCGCCGCCCAAGGGAGAGGGGAGGCGCGTCGGCGTGTTGAGCTGCTTCACGCCCTCACCGTGGCCAAGCAGCCCTGGATTCCAGTTCGGCGCATTGCCGCACGACGAGAGCCGCCCCTCGCCGTCGATGAAGAGGCTGTGCCGTTCGCCTGCCGCCGCCCTCGCCGGCGGGTTGGACTCGTGCAGCAGCGCCGAATAGCACAGCCACCGCACGGCGCAGGTCTCGCCCTCGGGCTGCGCCGGCAGCTCGAAGCCGCGCTCTTGCGCCCACAAGCGGATGCCTTGCTCCGCGAGCGAGGCGTGGAAGAGCAGCGAGACGGCCGCGGCGCGAGCGATGTCGACGGGGCTGTCGCAGCGAGAGAGGGCGCGCTCGAGGAGCTCCCTGGGGAGGTCGAGGAGGCGGGCGGGCGGCGGCGTCTCTGGCGAGGGAGCGGTTGTGGCGGCGGCGGTGGCGAGGCGGCGCGAGCGGCGGCGCGATGGGGTGGACATCGCGAGAAAAAGAAAAGGCACCGCATGGGGCCCTGAGACGTTTCGGAAAGCATGCGCGACGCTGCCTCTTTGCGCCGCTCGCTCGCGGCGACGGGAGACATGGCCGCCGATGCGGCTCGCACTCGCTCGGCGGGCCTCCGTCCCACAGCCGCCCGGGCGTGCCAGGGGTCGGCCTGGCACTGCGCTGCTCGCACGCTGCACTGCACAAAGCTGCGACAACAAGGGGAGGCTCCTAAGCTTGAGCGTTGTGCAGTGCAGCTGCGGGTGCTCGTGGACGGCTGTGCAGTGGTGAGAGCGCCTGATTGGAGGCGAGCTGGTGCTGCGCCAGGGTGCGCAGCATGCTCTCTCGCTCTGTCCTGAGGCATGCTGGCTGGCGCCCAGCACAATGCCCTCAATGCATTGCTCCACGCCGTGCTGGCTGGTGCAGTACTGCCAGGGCGCCGACCGCCGCGCGGGGTGCGCGTCGCCGCGCGTGGCACGGATGGCTCGAGAGGCGCGGCTGTCGGTCAACCCCGCGGCGCATGGGCGCCGCGGAAGCTGCTCGACAGGCTGCGGGCATCGCTGCGGCAAAAGAGCCCGCCCTCTACTTTGCTTTCGCCGCGTTTTACGACAACTTTCGGTGTATCATAGCCGCCGAACTTTACCTCGCTGTTTCTTTATAGGCGTCTCGCAGCTGCGTATTCTCGTATTATCTTCGAGTAGTTGCGTGGGGGCGGTACGTATTCTCGTATCAGTAGCTAGTGTCGTGTCCACTAGCTCCGAGTAGAGGGTGCGTTCTGCTGCTAGGGGAAACCCGGAGCGCGGTACTATCCCTCGGAGAACCGTGTTATGGCCCTGCGACCGCACACCCCCCAGGGCTAGGGCTCTCTTGCCCGCAACCCGATGCCAATCATCCGGCCCGCTGTAGGCCGACAGGCCACCGAGGCGGAGGCAAGGAACAACAGCCCCCTTCTTGCATTTTAGCTCACATAGTAGAACCACTGCCTCCACCGCCTCCACCGCCTCCTCCTCTGCGCCCGAACCGGCGACGGCGCAGTCGCTGCCATCGCTCCTTTCGTCCTCCCCGCCCGCCGACGCGAGCACGCCCCCCGGGATGTGTGCCTGTCCCGTGTGTTTCATATATAACATCGAAGGCGAGCTCACATAATCAAAAGTGTTCGTGAAACAATTTGAATGAAAAGAACAACCCGTGTCATCACACGTGTCAGTCAGAGCACGCGACTGAATCCCGGCAGCTTCCGGAGGTAGTAAGCGGTAGGCCACAGCGGCAAGTTGATCAGGAGCGTTGTGAAAAGGAAGCCCGTAGAAAGCTGCCAGCCCTTGAGCGGTGTGGTCGAGTAGAACGCGTCTCTAGCGAAGCAGTAGGTAATGTTGACCGAGGTGCCCGAGGCGCGCAGGATGGCCAGGTACGCATAGACACACGGCGCGAGCAGCACAAAGTGGAGAATGTAAACGGCATACGCCGCGTTTGCCAAGAAGTCCCACGCCCTGTTGCGAGAGTTGAGGAAGGTGCCAAAGAAATGGAGCGTTGCCAGCGAGAAGGCGACCGTGTAGACGCCCTCGACGGCGCCGAAGACGAGGAGTGTTGTGGGCAGCGTGGAGTTGTCCACGCCTCGTTGTGGAGGGAGCAGAGCAGTATCGCCCGGAGAAGGTGGCGAGGGAGGCAGGCAGTCTGGAGATGGTGGGAATGGGCTCATGAACGGGACGGCCACGAGGTTGAAGAGGAGCAGGCTGACGGCAACGCAGTAGAGCGCCACGACTTGCCAACTCGGCCAGCGAAGGAGATCGGCGAGCCAATCGTCGCGTGCGGCGACGCACCCCGCATAGAAGAAGATTATGTAAAAAGGGAAGGAGCCGATTGAGGTGGGGATGTAAAACATGTTGAAGCCAAAGGCCAGAATCCAGCCCTGCAGCAGCCCGATGGTCGCACCGGCGAGGCAGAGCACGGCGAGGCAGGGCAGGTTGAGTCGAAGCGGCGGGGCCGGGCAAATGACGTACCATGCGTTGAAAAGCAGTAGCATCTGGAGAAACCAAGGCGGTCCCGGGCCAGGAACGTACGCCCACGCCGCTGGGTCGGGCTCGAACATGAGGAATAGCCACATCCAGCAGAGCGGGTTGAGGCACCAAAAGTAGACGAGGTAGGGGATGCCGTAGCGGATCAGCTTGCCCTTGATAAACTCGCGCGTGCCCTTGCGTGCGTGGCTCGCTGGTGTAAAGTGCCCCGAGATGAAGCACAAGAGGCTTATAAAGTAGCCTTGATCGGCCGTGATCAAGCCAGTCGCCACGCGGCTGCTCCACACGTCTTGGTCCCCAAGCACGATCGCCGGCCAGACCCCCGTGTGTGCCCAGACGGGCACGCCACCCGTGTCGCCAAATGAGCAAGCCACATGGTGGGTCACCACAATAAATGCTAAAAAGGCCTTGACGTTGTCCAGATAATCGTAGCGCGGCTTTATTGCGAGGAGAGGCGTGGCGAGAGGAGAGCACTCGGGAGCTGTGCGCGTGGGAGCGTAGCCCACGACCACGGGCTGAACGGGTTTGTCGGCTAGCTCGGCCTGTGCGGGCTGCCACGGGAATGCTGCGACCATCACGCATGGCAGCAAGACCAAGGGCAGATTGTCGACTGGGACAAACGCGTGGTAGCGCAGATAAACCATGAGCATGAGGACGCCAAAGCACGTAGCGAGGTAGAGGCTTTGCTTGGCCTTGACCAGAACGGAACCCGTGGGAAGACACATTGATTGGACGACCCGAGTCGGTCCGCTGTGCGCGTTACGAGCGATGCATGCAATGCGCCTTAGCAGCACGAAGCGCCGAGGCTTGATCCGCCTTGATCCAGCCCGGACTAGTTTTGTTTCAGGTTGTTGTGGGTACGTACTTTAGCTTACTGGGACAAAGGGGAGAGGGGGTTGTGTTCTCGTGGGACGCGGCACAAACGGGGCACAAACGCGTTTCAGGTTGTGATGTTAAAATGAACTGGGGGGCACGGGACGCGGCACAAACGGGGCACAAACGCCAGGCTACAAAGACGGGGAGGCACGTAGTTTTCAGGTTGTGATTTTCCGTTTGTTTTTTCAGGAAGTGAAAAAAGCTGTGCAGTGCGCCACTCATGGGGAAATTCAAAACAAAAAAAGTGTCCATCCGTCTGTATTATTATTAACAACGAAGCGCTCTCAAATAAAAAGAAAGAACCTGAAGCCTCCCATACGTGTTTGTGTCTCCTCCTTTGCTGTCCCATCTCCTCGTCTCTTTCCCGCCTGTGGGCGGGGCAGCGGGCGGGCGCGCGGTGCGGTGCGGCGTGTGCGTGTGTGCGACTGCGACAGGGGACCGCTTGAAAGGGACCATTTGGCTTGTATTATTAACAACGAAGGCGCTCTCAAAAGAATTTTACTATACAAGCCCCTCTCACAGCAGACTGGCTCGGACTGGCACTACAAATGGCACAGCAGGCGACGGCCCCTTACGGGTCGTCAAAGAGGCCGGCGTACTCCTCCGGCCGCTCCTCCCCCTCCCAATCCTCCCCGAGAGAGAGAGAGAGAATTCTTGATACGAAACCACGACGACACACACCAGTCGACTCGCATCGGTTGCCTCCATGAACCTCTCTCTCTCTCTCTCTCTCTCTCTCAATCCTCCCCGTGAGAAAGAGAGAAATTTCGTGGAAGCGAAAGGGGCACCCCCCAGCACTCCACCCATGCATCGCTCTGCCACGCTCGTGCAACGCCGCTCTCTGGCCAGCCTCCCTCTCACGTGGCTGCCGCAGACCAAGAAGGTGGGCATCGTCGGCGGTGGGCCGCTCGGCGAGGCGCTCGCGTTTCAGTGCGCTCTAGCCGGCTTTGACACCTCGGTGATGGACCTGTCGATGATCGCTCTCGAGAGGATGGCTGACGTTCACCGCGCCCTCTCCGACCAGTTCACGACGGACATGAGCCAAGGCACGCCGTCTGTCCCCGCGTGGGGGCCGCTGATGCCCAAGGTGAGCTGGAGCGACCAGAGCAGCTGGGATCGACTTACATCCAAGACAGCTGCGCGAAAGATTGCGGACAAGGCGCTCAGCAGGCTGACGTACTCGACGGACGCGGCGGTCGCGATGGAAAACGTCCACCTCGTCGTCGAGAGTCTGCCCGAGGACCTCGATCTCAAGATATCTGTCTTCACCAAGCTGCACCAGGCTGCCGACGCGTCCACGATCTTCACCACCGCCGCGACCACTCTGCTCCCGTCGCAGCTTGCGGAGGCGTCGGGCAGGCCGCCGCTGTTTTGTGCCCTCCACTTTTCGGAGGACATCTTCACCTCCACCGTCTCGGCGGTCATCCCGCACTCGAGCACCGACCCGCTCGTCGTCGCGAAAACGAGGGCCTTCGCGGATAGCATCCACATCACTCCTCTGACCTTGGGGCCGTGCTTCGGCAGCGCGCAGGGCGGGCCGTACGCGGTCCGCAAAGAGGCGAACGCGTGAGAGGCCGCACTCGACCCTCTTGGGTCAGCTGGGCCGATCCAACTCGCATGTGGCGATACTTTATATCGGGCGGAATCCGCATCCCCAGCGCCGCTGAAGCTTCGCCCTGCGGCAGCGCGGGCTCACTAGATCGTACTGTACCGGTGTCGCATCATCTGTAGGCTAGGCCAAACGATTGCATGGTAACGTCTCCACGTTTGAGGGTGAGAGCGCTGTAACGTCTCGCGTTGTATTCGCGTACAGGGAGATAAAAGAGACCGATGAGAGAGTGCTGAGTGCAAGAGGGCGTGGCGAGGCCTGGCGCCACCCGCACCGCGAGAGGGCGCGGGGGCCCAAGCCGCCAGGCGAGCCTGTGCGCACACCCAGCCTCGACCGCCGTGTTGAGGCGTCTCTGAAGGAACACACACGTTGTGAACAAGTTCGCTGGGTGCCGTGGATGGGGCTAATTTGACAGGGGAGTGCGAACGCGAGGGAAGTCCGGTCTGGCGACGCGCGGCCGCTATCTCCGCCGCCGCCTCGACGGCGCGGGCGGTGCGTTCGGCGCCTCCCCTCCACGAGGCTCGAGGCCTTCGGCGACGAGGACGAGGGCGGAGTGCAGGAAGGCGCTCACCTATGAGGTAGCGAGCGCTGATAGAGCACCGAGGAGTGCTGGTCCTCTCGGGGGCGGCGGAGTGCAGGAAGGGCTCACGTGGCGCACGTCGAGCTTGGTCTCGCTCGAGAGGTGGAGGTGGTGCTCCTTGCCGTCGCCCGCCGTGTGCAGCTCGGGCCGCAGGTCGAACGCCTGGAGTAAGGGAGGAGGCGAGAGGAGAGGAGGCGAGAGCGCCTCTGCGTCGGCGCAGCCGAGGCCGGGGTTGCCACAGCCGGGGGATGGCTTCCGGGTGGCGAGCGCGTCGTCGGAGTGGGAGTCGAGGGACCACGCCGAGCTCTCCGACGAGCACGTGGTCCGCTCCTCAAGCCCAGCCCCCTCGCCGCTCGGCTGAGGGGAGAGCGAGCCGCACAGGCCGTGCACCGCGAGGAGCTTGAGGTGTGCGCGCCGCCAGCAGCGGCGGCCGCACGTGCAGTGCTGGCCGCCCAGCGACGGCACGCTCTTGAGCGACCGCCGCCTCGCCCGGGCGGAACGCGCCGGCGACGCCCGTCGATCGCTCACCACAGTGGACACGACCACGGAGCGGCGCTTCTCGTCCACCGCAGCAGCATTGCACTTGCCTTGAGGTTTGGAATCCCGCCGGAAGAGGCGCCAGAAGAAGCCGCAGGTTGGCGGCGGGGCTGGCGGGTTGGGATCAGCAAGACGCGGCGGCTCTTCCGCTGGCATCTTGTGGGCCAGGGCCTCGGTGGACGGCCCCGCTTGGCGTTTGGCCATGTTCCTATCCCTGGGCGCCGTCCTGGCTGCCAGCGCCTGCTGCCGGCGCGCGATCGCGGCATCCCGCTCCGTCGACCGCGGCTGACGCGGCTGGCCGGTCCGCGCCTCCGTCCTGGTCATTGTTTGGGGAGGCTGCTTGCGAGATCCTTCCCAAGAGTCGCTGCCGGGAAGGACGCTTGCTTTTTTCTGTGTCGAATAAAAAAATTCTCTTGATTGCCGAATCAGCATGTCACTCGTCGTCTCTCTGCTCCTCGCTCGGCCGGGCGGCGACTCGGGTGGTGCAGAGGCGCCGCCGCTGCGCGTGCGTGCGCACGAGGCGGCGCTGGAGCACGCCTGCCGTCGCCACCACGGCCCGACGCCCGGGGCCGTACGTCGAGTCGGACAAACATTTGGCGAGAGCCAACCGAGCATCTTCACCGAGCATCATCGGATCGACCCGCTCTCCTGCAACGAGCCGCGGGAGGGAGACTCGTACGATCCGGCTCGAGCGGCGGCGCGTGGCGCGCACATGCCCTGCTCGCCCGCGGCCGCTGAGGCACACCCGGCGAGAGCTACCTTTGCCCCCTCGGCGTCGTTTGCGAGGCTCGCCTCACCGTCGTGCTGCGGGGGCGGCGGTTGGCTTGGGAGGTGCACGTGGCCGCGCGTGGCGCGGCTGGCCCCTGCACTCGCCCTCATATTTTGTGCTGGCTCGCGCACGCGCCGCGAGAACTCGACGACGAGCGACTGCATTGGCGGGCTTCGTTGTCAAAGGCGGCGGCTCTGCGTGGTCAAAGGCGGCGCTTGCCATCAGCCGCCGTGCACAGCTGTCCCAAACTCTTTCATGCTTTGGCCACTTCCGCCCCCTCGCTCTCAACCCATCCATCCACCTCGCCTCGCGCCGCGCGCGCGATCTATCTCGGGCGATCTCGCGCTATCTATCTCGGGCGATCTCGGGGCCGCGCCGCGCTATCTCGGGCGATCTCGGAGCTATTTCTTTGAGCATGTTTGTGTCTGTGTGTCGCTCGTGCGTGCCGCCATCATCTGTCTAGCGTCCACCCAATACCGCGTTTTTTTGAGCATGGCATACACAGACGGGTCGGAAGACCTAGGGAAAGCAGGGTGGGCCTATACAGTACTCATCGGGGGCGACGCCATCGGCGATGAGGGCGCAGCGCTGACGAGCGAGGGCTACGGGCCAGTTGTCACTTCGGCGGCGCACCCAGCCTACCTCGGCGCGCGAAAGCATACCAACAACACGGCGGAACTAACCGCCCTACAAACGGGGTACACCAAAAGGCACGGGCTGCCTGCTCATTTCGCCTTTTTAGGCTAAGCTCTCCCCCGGCCGGCCGGCGACCCGCATGTGCGATGTTTTTCGTTCATACGTACGCTCAGTAACGACCTCGTCCACCCCCGTCGTCTCCCCCCCCCCTCCCCGGGGTTCGTTATTTATAATTTCGTTTTCACGAATACCTTAATTCGAATCAATCAATTCGCGTATGAACGCATCCGGCCTACTACGGTGCACGATTGATTGATACGGGCGGATATCGTCCGCAAAACGCCCGCATCAGCTCGCATCGCCACCGGGCCAGTGAACAACATGCTCCCCCGTACTGTTGTGCTGCACAACGTGGCGGGGCGCGCGTGAGCTTGCTCGTGGCGGCTACATACACGCTCCCCCTGGGGCCTGGGCTGGCGGGGGTGCCCTCTTAGGCGGCCTCGCCGGCACCGGCGACCCCTGGCTTTCCGGTGGGGTACCCCCCATCCGCCTTCTTGAAGCAGGCGGCGCCCGTAAGCCACAGGAAGAGGAGCACGCTCAGGGCAATGAGGGCCAAGACGCCAACGACGATGCCGAAGCTCAGGGCAATGAGGCACAAGATGCAAATACCGCCGTCGTCGTCGTCGGACTCCACCTCGGGTGGCTCGAGCCGAGAGACCGTGACGTCGGTATCGATGCCATCTTCCGCGAACTGATCGTTGAGAGCCTCTTGGAGTTTCGTCGCATCAGCAAGGATGCCGTCCGAGAGCGCGATCACCGCCGCGTCCGCGGCCGCCGACACCTTGAAGAGGATCTTTGCCGAGACCACCACGGAGCCAGGCGAGAACGTCAGGGAGACCGCCGACGGCGAGACGCCCGCGCCCGCGGCGAGCACCGCCTTGATCGCCGCCCGCTCCGGCTCGCCGTTAAAGTCTTCGACCGCGCCGGCGAGCGTGAAGGAGGTGACCACCGTGGCGGCGGGTGTCTTGCAGAGGAAACCCATAGACCCCGGTAGACCCAAATCGACGTCTCCAAAAAGGTCGTCGAGAATGCCTCCCACGGAGCAGAATGCCTTCCATCGGAGAAGCTCGGTGCCGCTGTCGGAGCAGTCCCAAGTGGTGTAGGAGGTCACGGTCAAGGTGTCACCGTCACAGGTCAACATCAACGAGGCCGCCGTTTGAGGGATACTGACCGCCAAAGGCAGATCTGAATCCTGAGGATCGGCGAGGCACTCTCCCGTGGAGATGGTCTCCCGAGTCGTGCATTCGGTCGAGCAGTCGGTGGAATTGCACGTGAGGATTTCGAATCCAGCCTCAAAGCCGTGGTCGGTCGTGTTCGACACGGCGGTGACGGACGCCACAAAGAGCGCGGTGAGCTTCACGTGCATGAATCAGAGAGAGACCTGCGAGATGGAGGTGGACATGTCGCTCGCTTTGGCGGTCGTTCGCAGTGTGGCAGCGTGCAAGTTGGGGTGGTACGCAGTGACGCGCAGGAGCAGTAGGGAGGCGAGCGGATGGCGGGCGGTGGGCGCGGAGGGCGATGCGATGATAGGGCACACCCAACTCAGACCTTGTCGTGGAGCTTGCGAGACGCGAGTGCTCAACCACGCAAAGCGGCTCCCCGAAGTCCTACGCTCTGTTTTTTTTCATAGCGAGTACGCGGCCTCGCGGCGGCGTGCATGCTAGAGGACGAGCAAGCCTGCTCTAGCCTCACGCGTTCTCCCCTGTCGTCTGTTGTGTTGTTGTGCCCTTGTTTGTTCTCTTGGCACCTTGGAGTGCTGGGGGGGGCGACAGGGAGGATGTGGCCTTGAGTTATGTGTACGCCAACTCAGGGTGTGTGGCAGCCAGCTGGCTGTGTGTCTTGTGAGCTTGTTTGTGTCTGTGTGTCGCTCGTGCGTGTCGTCATCATCTGTCTCGCGTCCACCCATACCGCGTTGGTGTCCAGTCCGAGCCTGACTGTTGTTCATCTTTCTACCTACCTACCTGCGTGCATGATGGGGAGGGTGACCCCCAAAACGAACAGACAGCTAGCGGAGCGCCTTCGTTCCCTCTGTCTGGCGACGCCTTCGCGCCCAACACACCGTGACGTGGAGGCATGTGGCGGGTCACAGCGGCAACAAATGGAACGACTACGTCGACGAGCTAGCTGCTCGCGGCAGGCAAGGTGACAGAGGCTCAAACGCTGCCGAGTGGGCGGACAACACCATCCCGACGGACACTCCCGACGACGGGAGCGACACGGAAGGACCCGCCCCCGACCCTCGGGGCGGGGGCCCCCGCCCCCCCGGGGGGCCCTTTGGGGCCCCTCCAGGGGGCGACCCCTCCGGGGAGGCCGGCCTACAGGAGCGACACACAGAACCACAAGACAAGACACTCAGCCAACGTGGCTGCCGCACATCCTGAGCGTACTTCCCAGTCTTCCGCGGCCGGACTCCATCCGGCACGCGTCGCTCAGAGCCGCGTCCCCTGCTCGCCACCCCGACGCTCAAGGCGCCCGAGTCGAACGACAGGCGGCACGCGAAGACTGGTTGCAATCCCGCCGACCGCCAGGCCGCGGGATGATGTGTGGCTGCGTGGTCATGTGGTGGGTCTCGGAAGCTCCCCTCTCGGGCTAGGGGCCAGCCCCTCTCCCTTGCCCTCGGAACAGTGTGTCCGAGTCGAGGCGTGAGAGATTTTTAGCAATACCAAACAACTCTAACACTTTTGTGTGGTGAGGCGTGTGCTTGCCGGTCGACGGCCGCGCGCGGTATTGTGAAGGGTGCGCGCGCGGCCGCGGCGCGCCCGCCATGGCTTGGCGCGGCGCGCCTACCAGCGGCAATTGTCGAGGCACGGGAACGCTTTCCCGGGGTCTTAGGGTTAGGGTAAGAAAAAGAAAAATCCTCTCGTATCAGCTGGCCCTTGCTGCCCCCCCGCACCGCACCCTTGCTCCTCTGTTGGGGCCACTCCTCTGTTCGCCGCTCCTCTGTTCGCCGTCTCCTCGCCGCGCTGCCAGCTTCCGATGAGCGTCGCCTACTCAGACCCTGGCAGCAGCTGGCTCGCCGAGCCGGCCGCCAGCCGCCTCGCCAGCGCCTGGCTCGCCGGCTGCGCGGCGTGGACGCTGCTCGTCACCTTTGCGTACGCAGTCGCGTGGAGCACTTTGGCGAGGAGAGACGCGTCGCGGCGGAGCGCCCACTCTGGCCGGGCGACGTCCGGGCGGGCGACTTCTGGCGCGAGCGAGCCGACGTCGATGCTGGACTGGACGGTCGCGCGCCTCTCCCAGGCGCGCGTGGCCAAGCAGCGGCTTCTCGTGCGCGTGCAGCTACTGATCCTCGCCGTGATGCTCGTCCTGCTCGTGTGGGCTGACTCGCCCATCGTCCTGTACGGCGTCGGCTGCTGGCCGAGCGAGCGGCTCGGAGTCATCTGGTGGCCGGCGCTGCTCAACATCCCTGGCGTCACGCTGCTGCCGCTCACGCTGCGGCCGGTGGACACGGAAAACATCCGGGTCGGGGTCTTGCTCTTTTGGGCGATCGGCTACACCTTTTCCGCCTTCCACGTGCTCAGCATCGCCCTCGACATCCCGGTGCCGGTCGGCGAGGCCCGCTACGTCGGCGTGCAGAGCGACCCCCTCTGGCTCGGCTTCCACGTCTTCACAGGCTGCGCCCTCCTCGTCGGCAGCAACCTCGACTGCCTCGTCCTCGGCTGGAGGCACGGGCCGGGCGGCGTCTCGCGCATGGTCCGAGAGGAGGAGCCGAGAGGAGGCCGAGAGGAGGCCGAGAGGAGGCCGAGAGGAGGAGCCGAGAGGAGGCCGAGAGGAGGCCGAGAGGACCTGAGAGGAGCCCGAGATGACCCGAGATGACGGGCTGGGCGGTGTTACGCGCCTGGCCGTGCCCGACGGCGCCTGTCCACCCCACGCCACCCTCCCCTACCCCACAGTACCCGAACCCACCCAGGCCCTCCCGTGTCCACCCCACCACTCCCTCCCCTACCCCACAGTACCCGAACCCTGTCCACCCCACCCCACCCTCCCCTACCCCACAGTACCCGAACCCACCCAGGCCCTCCGTTGTCCACGCCCTGTCCGCGACACGTCCGCGACACGTCCGCGACAGGTCGAGGCCGACCCTCGGCAGGGCCTCGCGTGGGTGCACTTCAAGGCGCGAGATTACCCGAGATTACCCGAGATTACCCGAGATTACCCGAGATTGGGCCTCGCGAGGGTGCACTTCAAGGCGCGAGATTCCCGAGATTACCCGAGATTACCCGAGATTACCCGAGATTACCCGAGATTACCCGAGATTGGGCCTCGCGTGGGTGCACTTCAAGGCGCGCCCTGTGTGCCGCTGCTCGAGGCGAGCCGAGGCCCCGCCGAGGCTCGACTCGGCTCTGCGGCGGTGGATAGGCGCCGCGCCCCCGAGGAGCTGCGGGGCGGCATCGCGCTGTGAACGGCGTCTCTCGACAGCCCAATACGCGGCCCTCTAGGCGCGCTGCATCTTCGAGAGTACCCGAGAGGACCCGAGAGGACCCGAGAGGACCCGAGAGGACCCGAGAGGACCCGAGAGGACCCGAGAGGACCCGAGAGGACCCGAGAGGACCCGAGAGGACCCGAGAGGACCCGAGAGGACCCGAGAGGACCCGAGAGGACCCGAGAGGACCCGCGATCTGCCCCCAGGTGCGCTGCATCTTCCAGCTGCTCGGCGCCGCGCTGCTCCTCTTTCCCGCGCTGCGCGTGCTCGGCCCCGACCCCGCCCACGCCTCCGCACCGCGCGATTTCTTTTTTACCGCCCCCCCTTTTTTCTTTTTAGGCCCCGACCCGGCCTTTGCGCAAAACGTCAACGCGGCGCCGATGCTCGTGCTGGGCGCTTGCGCACTCGCTTCGCCGCTGTACGCGGGTCCCGCGGCGCGCGGCGCCGTGCTCTCCTGGCTGGGCAGACTCGGCACCACGGCGGCGGAGCGCGAGGCGGCCGTCGTGCCGAGATCGCCCGAGATCGCCCGAGACCACACTGGATCACCCGAGATCACCCGAGATCACACTGGATCACCCGAGATCACCCGAGATCACACTGGATCACGCTAGATCACACTAATCACGCTAGATCACCCGAGATCACCCGAGATCACACTGGATCACCCGAGATCACCCGAGATCACACTGGATCACGCTAGATCACACTAATCACGCTAGATCACCCGAGATCACCCGAGATCACACTGGATCACGCTAGATCACCCGAGATCACACTGGATCACACTAGATCACACTAGATCACCCGGTGCCACACCAGAGTCCACCCCGAGACTAGGCGGCCCCGAGACCTCCCAGAGACCACCCAGAGACCACCCAGAGACCACCCAGAGACCACCCCGAGACTAGGCGGCCGTCGTCTCGACGCTCTGCGGCCTCGGCAGACAGTCAGACGGGTCGCTGCTGCGCAAGGTCTCGCCCCCTCCCGCCCCGCTCCCGCCCCGCTCCCGCCCCGTTCCTGCCCCGCTCCTGCCCGAGATCGCCCGAGATCGCTCGAGATCGCTCGAGATCGCTCGAGACCACCCCGAGGCCAACCGAGACTAGGCTGGCTTGTCCTTTCGCGTCATCTCGTTCGACCGCCTGAGGCGACCTCATCTCGCGCCGTCCCGTCTCACCTCTCGCCTCACCTCTCGTCTCACCTCTCGCCTCATCTCTCGCCTCATCTCTCGCCTCATCTCTCGCCTCATCTCTCGTCTCACCTCTCGCCTCACCTCTCGCCTCATTTCGGGACCTCCCCGAGAGCGGTCTCGGCGGATCTCCTCCTCCCACCGGCTGCCTCCTCCCGCCGGCCGCAGGTCCGACGACTTCGTCCCGGGCGGCGGAGGCGGGGACGCGGACAAGCGGGCGGAGAAGGCTGCTCTCGGAGACTGCGACGCGTTTGTGTCGCACGCGTGGCTCGACAACGCCGCCGCCAAGTGGCAGGCGCGAGCCCCGGGCCGTCTCGCGCAATCTCGCGCGATCTCGCGTGGATCTCGCGTGATCTCGCGCGATCTCGGGTAGATCTCGGGTGATCTCGGGTAATCTCGGGTAGATCTCGGGTGTGAGCTCGGCACTCCAGTGGCGGGCGCACCCCAGCGTCAAGGGGCAGCGAGCGCCCAATCTCGGGCGATCTCGGCTGACCTCGGCCGATCTCTCGCTCGCTATCTCAGGCGCTCGAGCGTTGGGCTAAGGCCTTCCAGCAAGAGCGAGGCCGCCCGCCGACCTTGTGGGTCGACGTCGTGTCGATCGACCAGTCGGCCGTCGCGGAGCCTAGAAGCGGACTATCTCCCCATATCTCCCCCCGTAGCTCCCCGTATCTGGCAGCACGGAGCCTAGAAGCAGACTATCTCCCCATATCTCCCCCCGTAGCTCCCCGTATCTGGCAGCACGGAGGCTAGAAGCGGAATGCACACCCGCGCCTTCCGGCTAGCGCTCGAGATCACACGCACTACTAGTAGTACTCCGCTGCATCCGCTGTCTTCGCGTAGTAGTAGTAGTAGTAGCAGTAGCAGTAGCAGTAGCAGTAGCAGTAGCAGCCCTTGCATTCACGCGGCGCTCTGAGTACGCTGCGCGAGTCCGTCTTCTCCCGCCCCGTTGTCCGCGTCTTCACACCGTGTCTTCACACCGCAGGTCGCCGAGTCGCTCGCGTGCCTGCCGATCTTCCTCGCCGGCTGCGAGAGCCTGCTGGTCCTCGGGGGGCCTGTGTACACGTCCCGGCTGTGAACAGCGTCTCTCCACACCTACTGCTGTGAACAGGTCCTCGGGGGGCCTGTGTACACGTCCCGGCTGTGGTGCATCATGGAGGTGACACCCGCAGCTACACCGCCACCACGCGCCATACAACGAGACAGACAGACAGACAGACACAGATACACACACACACACACACACACACACACACACACACACACACACACGCACACGCACGCACGCACGCACGCACGCACGCACGCACGCACGCACGCACGCACGCACGCACGCACGCACGCACGCACGCACGCGCGCACGCACACACGCACACGCGCACACGCGCGCGCGCCCTGGCCAGAGGACTCGTTCTCGGAGCTCTCCCCGAGCGGGCCACGCAGGCCCGCTGCCGCGGGGAGAGCTACCCGCACATTCGAACGCCGCACACGCCTCCCCTGCGCCTCTCTGAGCTGCCTGGCCCGCGGCCTCGCAGATCTTCACCTTTCTGAGCATCACCACCGACCTCAGCCGCGTGACCATCGTCCCGCTCAAGGGGGGCGGCCGTCGCTCGGCGGCGGAGCTCGACACTCTGAGCGCATTCTCTCGCTTCTCGGTGGAGCAGGCAACGTGCACGCTCGACACCGACCGAGAGAACATCCTCTCAGTCATCCAGTCGTCGTACGGGACGTACGACGACTTCGACCGTGCGGTGCGCGGGCTCTTTGCAGAACGCCTCGACCCGAACGCAGCGCCGTCGAGGTCGGCGAGCAGCTATCGGGCGCCGTCGGGGGCGGATGCGTCGCGGAGAACAGCGAGCGAACTGGGGTGGCCGATGGTGTAGGCCTAGGCGTGCCCCAGCGCGTGTGTGCCTGGACGAGGTCTGTGTTAGTATATTGTGCGTTGTTTCAAAGTAAAAACTGCCAGTGGCCAGTGCACGAGAAAGAAATTAAACTTAAAAAGTAAGTATGACTATGAGCTCTCTATGAGTATGACCAATGAACCATGAGCCCATGAGAGATGAGACGCCCCTCGCGAGCGCCGCGCGGCGCGCGCGCGCCCGTCTTTCTCTTATGACGCGTCTCGCTATCATCTATCAACGACGGACACGGTGGTGCAGAAGTACTAGCCATATGTGTATCGCGCGCCTTGCGGGGGGCGCGCGGGAAAGAGGCACCTCTTAGTGCATGACGGCGCGCAAGCAGAGTACGACCTTCGTACCGTTTTAAGGCTCCGAGAGGCGGCGGGTTGGGGTGGTGGAAGGGAGAGGCGGCGCGTCAAAGGCGGCAAGAGCGGTGGCTTAGCGGCGGTGGCCGTGGTAGCTGCGTCGGTGGCGGCTACGGGTCGGCAGAAGCAGGATGGCTCAGGCATGTGCCGCCTCCGCCTTGTTTCGTGACGAGAGCATGAAGGACGTTACGGTCCGGAGCAGCGAGGGCGCCTTGGCCGCCGGCTGCGGCGGAGGGGTCGGCTCCGCGGCCGCAGCGCTCGCGCGGCTTGCGCGATATCTGTAGAGCACCTCGTCGCCGGTGCGCTGCCGCTGCTGCATGATCTGGTGCCCCCGCTCCTCGTCCCACGTCGCGTTCAGCTGCTCCTCGGCCACCTGCTCCTCACGCAGGCGGCCGACGGCGCGCTGGAAGATCGCGCTGACGCGGGACTTGCGCTCCGAGGCCGCGTCGATGCTGGCGCGGCTGACGCGGCTGGCGTGGCTGGCGCGGCTGACGCGGCTGACGCGGCTGGCGCGCGCGAGCATCTGCTTTGGTCGGGAACGTGCGAGTTTGGCGACCTTCCTTGTTTGTCGACGTGTCCTCCTTGTGAATACTTGAGCACTGGATAGGGTCGATTCCGCATGGTGTCCTCCTTTTCAGTGTAGTAGTACTTTTAGCTTACTGGGACAAAAGTGTGTCAGTGTATGTAGCTCTTACGTACATTCCCGAACGAAAGAGGACTGCTGACAGGGTTTGCGATGAGGAGCGACCCGACGGGTTTCTCGGAGGTTAGTGCACCACACTAACCGCCGAAGCGCAAGCACTCACTCGGAGCAAGAGAACTACGTTTTCCGACTCCTTTTCCGAGCGACGCCCGGGTCGAAACTGCCTCGCCCTCGGCCATTCCAACGGACGGCCAGGCCGGCTTCGGCTTCGTTAAGGCGGGTCTGCACCCACCCACCCACCGCTCGCCCAGCCAGCCAGGGGTCTATCTACAAAGGTCAGAGCTGTCTTAACCGCTCGCTTGCTTGCGCAAGAGCCTCCGCGGCCGGCCTCATACTAGCACCCTCCCACCGCCTAGAGCCCACCGCACACCGGCCGGCTTTTGGTTGGACTATCTATGTGAGCTGTCTGTGCGTCGGTCGGTGTGAAAACAAAACTGCGCCGCCTCGCGCGCAAAGTCGCGCGCGGCAGCGTCGACCGCACGGCCTACTCGCCCACTCCCTCTCTTTTATGTCCCACCATGCAGAGCGCATCTCTCTCTCTGTTGTGCGAGGCGTGAACCGCGCCATTCGCTCTCACATGGCAACCCTGTCTACACGTCTCGCGCGCGCGTGAACAGGGCTCCAGGCCCCAAATGACGTGTGAGTGTCAGAGTTGTTTGGTATTGCTAAAAATCTCTCTCTCGGTGTGTGAGTGAGCTTTAAGTACAAGGGACCGACTGGAGAGGAGTCTTTTGTAAATCGGTGTCCGACCCCTCGATGTGCGGTTGAGGTTGTCGCAGACGCCATCGGCCTGAAAAGCGAGCAGGCGTCCACGTACCACGAAATCGATATAACACCCCTAGAGAAGCCGTCGTTGACACGGACACATCCGAGAGTGAGTCCCGGATCGTCCCCTCCTTGTCGCTTTAGGGTTGTCCCAGACGCCATCGGCCCTGAAAAGCGAGCAGGTTACACGGGATTATCGATTTCGTGGACGCATCCAAGGCACGCCGTGTCAGTCTTTGACGGCCGAGACAAGGGCGCAGCGTCCTCACGGCTTCTCAAAATAGACCATGCTTTCCGCGGTCACGCCGGCCGAGGTCAACGCCATCGACCCGCCCGCCCCTCCCGACGCGTCTCCCGAGCCGGATGAGCGGCCGCCGGCCAAGGCTCGCAAGCGGCCCAGGCCGACGGAGCGATGCGGCTGGACCCCCGAGGCCGACAAGTGGGTCGCCCACGACTATGAGACCCTCAACCCGTGCTCCCAACCCATCCACTCGGGCCGCGCCGCGCAATCTCGGGAGATCTCGCGCTATCTCGGGGCCGCGCCGCGCCGCACCCCCCCCACCGCCGCCGCCCCGGGCCGGTTCTCGCCAAATGGCCTCCCACCGCATCGGCGCGCGCGTCGCGGGCCTCTCGCCAGCGCAGCTGTGCGCCATCATCGAGGCGCAGGCGGGCGCGAGCGACGCCGCAATGCGCGTGGCGGAGGAGCACGCCGCTCGGCTCGTGGAGCAGCCCGAGTGGGTGCTCTCCGAGGTCCTCCTCTCGCCGGACCTCGCCCCGCACATCCTCGCCCAGCTGCCGACCACGGAGCACGCCGCCAAGGGGACGTGCCGCGCGTGGCGCCGCGGCTGGAAGGAGACGCTGAAGAAGCGCGAGAGGCCGCGCTTGGTCGTGTTCTGCGGCTACGACGGCGAGGGCGAGATTGTCAACTCGCTGGAGCGGTACGACCCGTCCACCAATCAGTGGGGGGAGGAGGCTGTGGCCCCGATGTCGACGGCACGAAGCTATTTCCACACGGCGGTGCTCGACGGTAAGCTGTACGCTGTGGGCGGCGTGAATAACGACGACGGCATCCTCAGCTCGGTCGAGCGGTACGATCCGGCTGCCAATGCGTGGGAGGCGGTGGCGCAGATGAACACACTGAGGATGGCCCTCAAGGTGGCCGTGCTCGACGGCAAGCTGTACGCGGTGGGAGGCTGCAGCAACGACGAAAACCTCAGCTCGGTAGAGCGGTACGATCCCGCGACGAATGCGTGGGAGGCGGTGGCGTCGATGGGGACGGCGCGGAGTGACCATGGCGTGGCGATGCTCGACGGCAAGCTGTACGCTGTGGGCGGATTCGATCATGGCCGCCTCAGCTCGGTCGAACGGTACGATCCGGCGGCGAACGCGTGGGAGGAGGTGGCGCCGATGGCGGAGTCGCGGGACGAGCTCGCAGTTTCGGTGCTCGACGGCAAGCTGTACGCCGTGGGAGGCATGAACGCCGGCTACATCAGATCGGTGGAGCGGTACGACCCTGCGTTGAATGCGTGGGAGGCGGTGGCGCCGATGGCGACGACGCGGTATAGTCACGCTGTGGCGGTGCTGGATGGCAGGTTGTACGCTGTGGGAGGCTTCAACGACGGCGACGGCGACTTCGGCACGGTCGAGCGGTACGACCCGGCCGAGAATGTGTGGGAGGTGGTGGCGCCGATGGCGACGGCGCGAGGCGCTTCTATCGCGATTCTATCGCAGTCTTGATGTAGTGCGGTCAGGTTTGTAGCCTGGCGTTCGTGCCCCCATTTGTGCCGTGGGTGCGAGCATATTTGTGACACGTAACGTACGACGTAGTTTCAATACACAGCCAGACACACGCTAGGACTCGCGCAGTGCGCGGCCGGACCATGCAGCCATGCTTCATGTGCAAGGTGGGGTCGGTGTGTGGGTCGCAGATACTAGGTCCAGCCCTGGGTGGCGCGCAGGTTGTGACATTTGGCGATTCCGCGACTTACTGGGCCCCTGAGCCGCTACCCGTGTGCGATTTTTTGTGGCCCGGACATGATACTGATAGTAATTCGGGTCAGAACCGGCCAAACACAGGCTACAGCCCCACACACGCGCCCGCCATAGCTCCTGGAGAGCATGCGCGAGTGACGCGCTGCAAGCCGCGAGAGTGGCATCAGAGGCAGGAACGACGTGCTCTTGCTGCACCTCGCAGCTGCACCAAGTGTGCTCGCAGTGTATGCCACGGCCACTGCCTGCGGCATTGCTCTCGTGCAGCTAGGCGATGCAGGTCCATCAGCAGGGCTCATCCAATGCGAGCGCACATTGTGCGTAGCCGCGGGCAGGTGGCAGTGCACAGCCGCACACCGGCTGTGTCGGCTCGAATGCCCCCGGCAGTGCTGCTAGTCATCAACTTGCGTATTAGGGCCGCAGCAGACTGCTGCTGTGGCAGCAGCAGCAGCCTGCTGCTGCCTGATTCAGTCAAGCCAGCGGTGCAGCGAGGCGTGCAGAATTCGCGCGGTTTGGTACCTCCTGAGGCTGAGCGCGTTCAGACTCGGTGACCGGAGTTGGATGGTCCGATGGAGCTCGGCGAGCTCCATCGGACCATCCATGGCCGGACGGCGGAGCGTGAGGTGGCGAGCGGAGAGATGTACCGCAAGACCAAAAAAACACGGATCTGACGATTGTCAGGCCTCCTGCATCATCGTCTCGTCGTCGCCAGTGGCTGGGTCTTCTGGCTCCGACCGGACGGCTCCACCGCCCAGCATCTGAGACATGAACGCGAGGTCAAATTCTGGCACGTACGGCGGCAGCTCAGGCATCTGCCTCTGCCCCCTCGCCGCATCGACGAGCGCGCTCGTGTCAGCTCGCAGCTGCTCCTGGTGCCGCTGCTTGGCCGCCGCGATCGCACTCGCTCCGCTCGATGACATCGTGAGGCACAACGGTCTGCGAGCTCCTTAGTCCTTTCGCCCAGCGGGTCCACCACAGAGTTCTCCCCATCATGTGCCCAAATGCGCCCGCCGTTTTTCGTCATACCCCCCCCTGGAGCCTGGAAACCCGCCGACTTTGATTGGGTCCGGTTCAACCTCACTCTCATCTTTATACTTACAGACACAAAACGTCAGATCCTGCGCCACCCAGGGCTGGACCTAGTCCGCAAACAAGCTCCGATATTTTCCTCCGCTTCACCTTCTCTGAGCACGGCGTGGACCTCTATGACCACGCCCTCGCCGGCGGATCGAGAAAAAAGATCTGGTGCCAGTCGCGAGCCATAGTCGGCGTACTGGACGCCGTGCGCGTCGAGGTGGCGCTTGAAGGCGTCGATGTCATCGGTGCGGAAGGCGATGTATCGCGGGCCGACGCCGATCGGGTTGATGGCCTCACCGCTGCGGAAGGCGACGCCGAGGTCTCGCGTAGCGAGGTGCATCTGCATGTGGCCGTCCGTGCCTTTGTAGCCTGGCGTTTGTGCCCCGTTGCTTTGTGCCGGTCCCGTCCTGTTCTTCCGAGACTGGCATGTAACAGAACGATGCCACCTGCCGCCTCGGTTGCCGAGCTGCGAGCTGTCCGCGCGCGGCTAGCTGAGCTGACCGAGCGCTCTATGATTGGACGAAACAACCAACGCGGACACGCCACGGAGGTACGGCTCCGGCTTGTCGGCCAACATAAGACAGGAACATCGAGCAACCAACCCGGCCGCAGAAACTCCGAGACGGCGCAAGCCAGCAAATCCAATCGAATGCGAGCTCAGGCACGACGCATCGAAGAAATGGCGAGCCAAGGTGCGGGGGCCAGCGCTCGATTTAGGCCTCGTGCCGTGGACTTAAGCGCGGCTGGCTCGCGGAGGAGTGCTCAAGGTGAGTGTTGCAGGCCTGCGTGCGCAGTGGATGAGCCCGCAGCCTCGCCAAGCGTGACGGACGCGATCAGCAGGTGCGAGCGAGCGAGGGCACAAAGGCGTGTCTCGCGTTGGCGTGAACGGCAGCAGTCCTGGGAGGAGGAGCGTCTACGCACGCTTGGAGAGACTACAGGCCCAAGGCCACGCCGCAAAGTGCAGGCGTTGCCCAACTCTCCAGAGCGCGGTGACGAGGCTCCAGCGTCGCCGCCTCCTCCAAAACCAGCGTCCAGGGAAGCCTCTAGCACGATGAGCAGCCTGAACTCAAAGCGGTCAAGCGGTCACGAGCGCACGGCAATGAGAGATACAACTTCAGAGAGCGGGCCCCGGCCGCACTTTGCCGAGTCTGAGCCGTTGCTTCTTCTCGCCATGGATGGCACTCCCACGAGTTCCCGTGCCTACCTGCGAGGCGCACCGCCGCCTTCGCTGTCCACGGGATGCAGGCGCACTGGCGTGCGCCGCCGAAATTGCAGCCCGCCCTTGGCTCAGGAGCAAGATGAGGCGCCACTTCCTCAAGAGGCGGAGTATGTCTGTGTGCGCGGCATCTCCAGTAGCGACGCGCGATGTCGTTGGGTTATGTCGGCTCGGGGGTATCTTCGTCACTAAGTCGGGGTTGGGCTGGCGCTCTAGCGCGTGGGGCGACAAACCCCCGCACGATGGGGAAGCGTTGGGTTGTATGTACGAGATGTTTTTCTTCACGCAGTGTGTAGCCACAGAGAGACAGCGCCGCGCGCGAGACAGTGCAAAGACATATTACAGGACCCACAGCCGTACGCCGCACATACTGAACAACATCGAACTCAACTAGGAACATCGTCTCCCTCCCTCTCCTAAGCCAGTACCACCCGCACGTCAATAAACAGGCCAGTACGCAAGAAAAATGTGGCCGGGATGTGCGGGGCGCGGCTCGAGGCGCGGCAGGCTCCGAGGCTCACGCCGCGCTCGGTGTCGCCGCCATGGTCCCCAAAATGCGTGCAACGACGCCCTTTGGCAAGCGGCCCTCCTTCTCGGCCAGGCGTAGCCGCGCACGGTAGCGATCCTCTGCCGAGAGCGCCGCCTGGTCGTCAGCCTGGTCGTCCCAGGCGGGCGATGCGGCGAGGCTGCGCTTGGACGGCGGCGAGAGCGCCGCCGCCGCGGGGGGGGCGGCGATTGGCGGCGAAGGTGGCTCCGGCTCGCGCGGCGGAGATGGTGGAGCCGCCGGCAGCAGAGGCGGGGATTGCTGCGGCTGCAGGGGCTGCTGCGGCTGCGGGGGACGCTGGAGTGGCTGCGGCGGCGAGTGCGTGGCTTGAGCGGGGCCCATCCAATACCCCCCGGGGATCTGGACGTACTGCGGCGGCCCCCACATCGGGATGAGCTGCGACGGTGGCATCGGCATGGCCTGGGCCATGGGAAGGCCCATCAGTGGCCCGGGCACCCACCGCTGCGCCGACAGCTGGTTGTACTGCGGCAGCTGGCAGGGCGGCGGCAGCTGGCTAGGCTGCGGCAGCTGGTGGGGCGCCATCTGCTGCGAGCCGGGATACGGGCGGGGCGCGAATACCGGCGCGGGTGCGCCGGCGGGAAGGAGGCCAACGTGCGCCGGCGAGGGTGCTCCGGCGGGGAGAAGGCCGAAGCGGCGGCGGGCCGAGTCAACGTCGACGGCCGTCTTTGCCTCGACGCCCATGCCGGAGAGCTCCTTTTGCTTGTGCCGCACCCAGCGGTTACGGCAGCTGCTCTCGGTCCGGCCGGGGAGCATGTCCGCGATATCCTTCCAGCGGAGACCTCTGAGAACGCCCTGGCAGATGAGGTCGACCTCCTGCGTGGTCCAGCAGTCGCCGCCCCGATCGTCTGCCTTGCCCTGCTGCTGCTGCAGGCGGAGGACGCGGTTGCGAACGCTGTCGCCGGACCGGTCCTCACCCGTCTCACGGCGGAGGAGCGCCGCGATCGCCGTCCAGCACGGGCCGAGGGTCTCATAGCCGTGGGCGACCCACTTGTCGGCCTCGGGGGTCCAGCCGCATCGCTCCGTCGGCCTGGGCCGCTTGCGAGCCTTGGCCGGCGGCCGCTCATCCGGCTCGGGAGACGCGTCGGGAGGGGCGGGCGGGTCGATGGCGTTGACCTCGGCCGGCGTGACCGCGGAAAGCATGGTCTAAAATTGAGAAGCCGTCAGGACGCTGTGACCTTGTCTCGGATGACCGGGCTGTTTCGCGGCGTGCCAGACACGTCCACGAAATCGATAATCCCTTTCAACCTGCTCGCTTTTCGGGCCGATGGCGTCTGGGACAACCCTAAAGCGACAAGGAGGGGACGATCCGGGACTCACTCTCGGATGATATGTCAACGACGGCTTCTCTAGGGGTTATATCGATTTCGTGGTAGGTGGACGCCTGCTCGCTTTTCAGGCCGATGGCGTCCGTCTGCGACAACCTCAACCGCACATCGAGAGAGAGATACCAAACAACTCTAACACTCACACGTCATTTGGGGCCTGGAGCCGGAGCCCCCCTGTTCACGCGATCACGCGCGCGCGAGACGTGCAGACCAGGGTTGCCAGGTGAGAGCGAATGGCGCGGTTCACGCCTCGCACAACAGAGAGAGAGATGCGCTCTGCATGGTGGGACATAAAAGAGAGGGAGTGGGCGAGTAGGCCGTGCGGTCGCTGCCGCGCGCGACTTTGCGCGCGAGGCGGCGCAGTTTTGTTTTCACACCGACCGACGCACAGACAGCTCACATAGATAGTCCAACCAAAAGCCGGCCGGTGTGCGGTGGGCTCTAGGCGGTGGGAGGGTGCTAGTATGAGGCCGGCCGCGGAGGCTCTTGCGCAAGCAAGCGAGCGGTTAAGACAGCTCTGACCTTTGTAGATAGACCCCTGGCTGGCTGGGCGAGCGGTGGGTGGGTGGGTGCAGACCCGCCTTAACGCTTAAGGTGAAGCCGGCCTGGCCGTTGGAATGGCCGAGGGCGAGGCAGTTTCGACACGGGCGTCGCTCGGAAAGGGAGTCGGAAAACGTAGTTCTCTTGCTCCAAGTGCTTGCGCTTCGGCGGTTAGTTTGGTGCACCCTAACCTCCGAGAAACCCTTCGGGTCGGGGGTCGCTCCTCATCCATCGCAAACAAACCCTGTGTCAGCAGTCCTCTTTCGGGAATGTACGTAAGAGCTACATACAACCCCCGACACGTCGACAAACAAGGAAGGTCGCCCAAACTCGCACGTTCCCGACCAGCGGGAGGTACATACATGCTCGCCCGCGCCAGCCGCGTCAGCCGCGTCAGCCGCGTCAGCCGCGCCAGCCACGCCAGCCGCGCCAGCATCGACGCGGCCTCGGAGCGCAAGTCCCACGTCAGCGCGATCTTCCAGCGCGCCGTCGGCCGCCTGCGTGAGGAGCAGGTGGCCGAGGAGCAGCTGAACGCGACGTGGGACGAGGAGCGGGGGCACCAGATCATGCAGCAGCGGCAGCGCACCGGCGACGAGGTGCTCTACAGATATCGCGCAAGCCGCGTGAGCGCTGCGGCCGCGGAGCCGACCCCTCCGCCGCAGCCGGCGGCCAAGGCGCCCTCGCTGCTCCGGACCGTAACGTCCTTCATGCTCTCGTCACGAAACAAGGCGGAGGCGGCACATGCCTGAGCCATCCTGCTTCTGCCGACCCGTACCCGCCACCGACGCAGCTACCACAGCCACCGCCGCCAAGCCACCGCTCTTGCCGCCTTTGACGCGCCGCCTCCTTCCGCTTGCACCGCCCCAACCCGCCGCCTCTTCCGTGGAACGCAAAGGAAGACCCGTGTGTGCGCCATGGCCTCGCGCCCAGAATAGCACGGGGACCCTCAGGGGTTGCTGTCGACTAACTCTGTGCTCCGGTTGTCCGAGCGAGCGCCGCGCGACGGCGCCGGCCGCCAGGTTGACAGCAGCGACGCGAGGGAGGTGAGGAGCAGGAGCGGGAGCATTATGTGAGCGCAGAAGAATTTTACGACCTTCGTACAAGAAAACTCTCGCACGACACCTCGCACGGGACTGGCGCGCACTGGCACTATCACAGGTACACCACAATAGCCGCCTAAGCGACTCCCGCGAGGACGGCGAGGCACTTAGCTCCGTGCACTCGACCGCCCTCGCCGCAGTGAGGGCAGAAGAAACCGCGGGCGGCACCGCACTCCAAGTGCTCCAAGGCGCGAAAAAAAGGATCGCGACAACCCAAGAGTGGGACGACCGCGAGGTGGCGCATGAACGATGAAGCTTGAAGGTTGCAGCGAGAATCGGCGAGTACTGAAAAACGGGCGAGAGACTGCGAAGAGACAGGCATCATCCTCCCATCTCTACACAGAAAGACAGACACACACATCACTCTTCCTCCGAGCTCACATTGGCTCGCTTGCCCACACCTCGATCTTCTTGGGCAGCAGCTGGTTCGACAGGCACTCTCCGTGGCTAAGGCAGCCGCTATCGCCCTCGCCCCAGGTAAAGACGTCGCCCTTGACGGTGTTGGCGAGGCTGTGTCGATCTCCTGCTGACACAGCGACGACACGCTGGCCAGCCAAGGCCTCAACCTTCTTGGGCAGCAGCTGGTTCTGCTGGTCGCCGTGGCCCAACCGGCCCTCGCCTCCCCAGCCCCAGCTCCAGACGGCGCCGTCGGCGGTGATGGCGATGCTGTGCCCGCCTCCTGCCGACACAGCGACGACGCACCGCCCCGCCAAGGCCTCGACCTTCTTGGGCAGCAGCTGGCGCTGCTCGTCGCCGTGGCCCAACCGGCCTTGGTATCCACTGCCCCAGCTCCAGACGGCGCCGTCGGCGGCGATGGCGAGGCTGTGGAAGCCTCCCGCCGAGACAGCGACGACACGCTGACCAGCAAAGGCCTCGACCTTCTTGGGCAGCAGCTGGTTCTGCTCGTCGCCGTGGCCCAACCTGCCAGAGGCTCCCTCGCCCCAGCTCCAGACACCGCCGTCGGCGGTGATGGCGAAGCTGTGGAGTGGTCCAGCCGAGACAGCGACAGCGCGCCGCCCCGTCAAGGCAGCAACCTTCTTCGGCAGCGACTGGCGCTGCTGGTCGCCGTGGCCTAGCTTGCCATGGCTTCCATCGCCCCAGCTCCAGACGGAGCCGTCGGCGGTGAGGGCGAGGCTGTGGTAAAGTCCAGCCGACATAGCTACGACGCGCTGGCCAGTAAAGGCCTCGACCTTCGTCGGCAGCAGCTGGCGCTGCTCGTTGCCGTGGCCCAACTGGCCGCTGCCTCCACCGCCCCAGCTCCAGGCGCCGCCGTCGGCGGTGAGGGCGAGGCTGTGGCAGGCTGCAGCCGACACGCTCACGGCGCGCTCGCCGCCAAGCGAAGAGGAGAGGCGCGTGGGCGTGTTGAGCCGCGTCACGCCCTCACCGTGGCCAAGCAGCCCTGGATTCCAGCTCGCTGAGCCGCACGACGAGAGCCGCCCCTCGCCGTCGATGAAGACGCTGTGCCGTTCGCCTGCCGCCGCCCTCGCCGGCGGGTTGGACTCGCACAGCAACGCAGACAAGCACAGCCACCGCACAGCGCAGCTCTCGCCCTCTGGCTGCGCCGGCAGCTCGAGGCCGCGCTCTTTCGCCCACAAGCGGATGCCCTCCTCCGCAAGCGAGTGAAAGAGCAGCGAGACGGCCGCGACGCGAGCGATGTCGAGGGGACTGTCGCAGCGAGAGAGGACGCGCTCGAGGAGCTCCCTGGGGAGGTCGAGGAGGCGGGCGGGCGGCGGCGCGTCCGGCGAGGGGGCGGAGGCGGAGGCGGAGGCGGAGGCGGAGGCGGCGGAGGCGCGGCGCGAGCGGCGACGCGCCGGGGTGTGCATCGCGAGAAAAAGAAAACGGCGCCACCACTCTGTGTCAGTGTGCCTGTGGTAGGAGAGACTGCCAGCGACAAGCTGGAGGCAGGTCGCTAGACTGAGATGAGACCGCCAGTGGATGTGGGAGTCCACCGCGCACCGCGCTGCGAGCCTGTCGTGTCCCTTGTCAGGAGCAGGAGAGCCCCACCTGTCCCCCTGATCGTCCTTCCAAAATCCTGCTCGTGCAGGTGGGGACCCTGTCCTCGTCCCATCCCTCGTTTGGCGTGTCTGTTTTCTTTCTTTTCTTTTTACCACTCTCCACCCCTCCATGAGTGTGTGTGTGTGTGTGTGTGTGTGAGTAGGGGGGCTGTGCCCGGGCGGTGTCCGGTGTGGAGTCCCCTTCTGATCCCGCCTGAGATGTTGGGTGTGAGGTTGTGGCGGCTTCGATCCCAAGGGGGGGAGCTGATCCCACTCGTAACCAACTCTCAGGGGCAGTAGGTGGGCGAGCTTGGAGCGCGCTCATCTCGATCGTCAAGGCGTCGCTACGCGCAGTCTTCCGCGGGGGGAGCTTCGTCGACGGGTGCGGGACCGCGGCGCAGTCAGTGCCGTGGCGATGCCTCCGGCTGTTTGCGGCGGGCGGCTTGCTGCTCGCTGCATGGCGAAAAACTCGTCTCGCCACACGCCAAGGGCTTATGCTCTGGCGAGACGTGAGGCGCATGCGCCCAGGATGGGAGGGGGCATGCGTAACGACACTGCTAGAGATGCCTTTCGGGGCCCAGAGACAAAACTTCTGATGCCATGCGTGACCTAGTAGTGTCCCCAGCTATGGGCGTGTCCACGTTGGAGCCAGGTGTGGTGTGGGCGCGAGAATAGCTCCGCCGTTCATGGAGGCAACCGATGCGAGTCGACTGGTGTGTGTCGTCGTGGTTTCGTATCAAGACCGGGTGCACCCGGACCCACCCGGAGGGGCCCGGGAAGGGTCTAGCGGCCCTCCAGCGGCCCCCAACGCCCCCCCGCGGCCCTGTTTTGGTAGTGTATCACACATATGTTGTGTCACTATCATACCCACGACCCAGGGTACCCGAGCGCTCCCGAGCAGCTATAAGGTCGAGCCGCTGGAATGCCTCCTCCAGTGGCACCCAGTCGCGCTCGAGGTACGGGAGGAGCATATCATACAGTTTCACTGCCCGAGCCTGCAGCTTGGCACACTCGTGGCACTTGTCCTCGTGGGCGAGCTGAATCCCGTAAACGTTCCGCATATCCTATAGATATCGAATTGCGCCTCGTTCAGGCCGGCGTCGATCATCCGACGGGTCACCCGACGTTCGAAGACGCTTTCCCGATCGCTGTCCGAAGACGCGTCGTCGGGACGGGAAACGCTGGCCGGCAGGTCCTCGACCGCCGGCTCCTCCTCGACCGCGGGCTCCTCTGGCGTGGGCACGTCCTGCAACGTTTCTGGAACGACAGCGAGAAGCGCCTCCGCGCCCGCCTGCCGCCGCTTGCACTTGCCCAACTCCTTGTCCACGCCGCTCGCGTGCGTCTCGAGCCGCTTGCCGTACACGACCGCCTGCTCGAGTCGCGCGCCCGCCAGCTCGCCGCGTAGGTCCCACACAAGGTACGCCAGCGCAGCCTTCTTCAGGTTCTTTATCTGGAGAGCCATCAGCGCGCCGCGCCGCTGCGACGAAAAGAGCGTGTTTACGGCAGCTTTCGCGGCGATGATGATGCCGTTGGTGACCTCGCCGACGATGCTGACCTCGTTGGAGGGTGCGGGGACGGGTTGGTTGCCGAGGAGCATGGTCTCGAGGCGATTTAAGAGCGCGGTGGGCTCCAAGGCGAGCTGCGCCGAACTGGAGCGAGTCGGCCGCGCCCGAATTGCTGGCACCGCATCGGCGCCGGTCGAGTCCGACACGACCGCGGTCTTCTCCACCGGCTCGAGGTTCGCCATCCGCGGCGCTGCACCGCGGATTCGAACGGCTGCTCGCTCCTGCTCGGCGGCTGGCCTGTCAGCACGGCGCTTCGAGAGGGCGGTCGCCGTCGGTGCACGTTGACTATCATGGCGAGCAGCCCCGCAGTGAGTGGATGCAGCCCACCGGAGGTACTGTCTGAGGTGGGGCCCGGCGCGTGAGGCTCGTCGGCGTCCGCCATCACCGCCTGCGGCCACTGCAGAGTCGGCCAAACCAGGCTTGATTTTGGCCATTTTGGCACGGACCCTTGCGGACTCTTCACAGCTGGGTCCCGGTGCACCCGGGAATACTCACTCACTCACCCCTCCACCCCAACTCACACACCACCCACTCCCCCCCCCCCCCCCCGTCTCTCTCTCACTCCCTGCTCGCTCCCTGCACGCTCACACGCACGCGCGCGTTGCGCCGCGAGCGCTCCGCGCTACTCGCCCGGCCGGGCTCGAACCCCACAGACCACTCGACCAAAAGCCGCCCACTCCCCTGCCACCTACCTGGCTCATCGGCCCCGCCCGCCTCTCCTCTCATTCTATCTCATTCTATCTCGTTCTATTTCGTGTCGATCTGACAAAAAAACCGGCCAGACTAGGGCTCCTGCCGCCTGAAACGGGACAACATTACACCACCTCACACGCACTACCCCCTCAGGGCTAAGCAGTGCGCAAGTCCACCCGAACTCTAGGCGAGGCATCGACCGCTCCTTTGGAATAGTGCCGTCAGTGGCTGCACTAGACGCCCATTAGATGGCGCGCGGCGCGGGCGGATGGCTAGGGGAGAGAATGCGGAGAGACTAGCTCGCAGGTAGATGTGCTCAGCCAAGGGCAAGGGATGAGGGGAATGTGTCAGTGTGAGGGGTGCACCAACCGCAGAGCGTCATGTTTTGCCTTTGAAAACTGAACAGTTTTTTTCTGCGCCCCGCATCAGAACAGCACCACCGCGCACGTCACGTTGTCGGTGGTGCCGCGGTCCATCGCCTCGAGGACGAGCCGCTTGGCGAGCATGTCGGCCGAACGCGCCGTGTGCGTGAGGCAGTGGAGCACGCGCGCCTCGTCCATCACGTCCCAGAGCCCGTCCGACGCGAGCACGATCCCCACGTCCGTCGGGGCGCGCGCGCAGCAGCGCAGCTCTGGCTCGCTGCTGAGGCCGAGGTGGCGCAAGCGGCGGTCGCCGATGCAGCGCGTCACCTGGATCACGAGTCGCCGATGACCCGAAGAGTGGCGTGAGATTCGCCGAGATCAAACCGGCCGCCACCTGGATCACCCCGCCGACGCGCGCTTTGCCATCGGCCGTCGTCTGCACTGTGCCGCCCGCGGCGGCCACCCGCGCCGCCTCCTCGGGCACAGCGGCGTTATGGTCGCGCGAGACACGTTCGAGCGAGTCGGCGGCGCCGGCCGCGCCGCCGCGCCACAAGTGCGCGACGCAGTCCCCCGCGTTTGCGATGAGAGTCGTGTCGGGCAAGACGAGGGCGGCCAGCGCGGTGCACCCCGAATCCTCGGACGGCGCCTGATCTCGGGCAATCTCGGGTGATCTCGGGCAGTCTCGCCTGACCTCGGGCAATCTCGGGTGATCACCAGTTCACCGAACTGGCGGTGATTCGACTATCTCTCGGCTGTGACCCTCGACTGTCTCTCGACTGCCTCTCGGCTGCCTCTTGACTGCCTCTCGACTGTCTCTCGGCTGCCCCTTGGCTGCCTCTCGGCTGCCTCTCGGCTAGGAGACGCCTCGGCAAGCAGCCTCTCGTTGAGCCGGACGAAGCTGCGGCTCAACGCCTCTCCGAGCGCCGCGGCTCGCGCCCCGCCGTCGACGCCCGCCTGCGCCGCCTGCGCCGCCTGCGCCGCCTGCGCCGCCTGCGCCGCCTGCGCCGCCAGCTCCAGGGCGAGGTTGTCCGCGCCTAATGTTGAGCTGCGGGTGAGGGGAAAGAGAGCGGCGGGGAGCTACACTCTCAGGGCGAAGCTGTGCGCGCAGAAGGCGGCGGCGCCGTCGCCGCCGTGCCCGTCGAAGACCGCGGCGAGGGCGACGCCTCCCCGCACGAGCATCACGTGCCTGTCCTCCATCCGGTCGGCGCCGCGCAAGCCGGCCGTCGCCTCGACTCCGCCTCGGCACGCGCGGCTGCCCCCCCCGCCACACAACGCCGCGAGCGAGGCGAACGCGGCGGCAGCCCCACCGCCACCGCTGGAGCCGGCCATCTCTGCAGCCGCCGTGCCGCCCGCACCGCCCATGCCCTCGCCGCCCGCATCGCCCATGCCCTCGCCGCCCTCGCCGCCCTCGCCGCCCTCGCCGCCCGGCCCTGCTGCGGCCTCGTCGAGGAAGGCGGTGGCGGCGGCGACCTCCGCACGGGGGGGGAGCTGCGGCGGCGGCGCTGCCTGGCCGTCGAGTGCCGCGAGGGCACCAGCCGCGGCGGCGGCCGCCTCTGCCGCCGCCGGCCGCTCCGCTGCGCCTTGCGACTATGTCCTCAACGCGGACCGGCGTCTGGGCACGGGCGCGGCACCGAGCCGTGGACTCAGGGCACCGCGGGGGCACAGCTGAGCGCGTGTGTCCTCTTGCGAAGTGCCGGTCGGAAGACGCGGGTAGTGTCGGCTTCTAGCGTCGGCTTCTAGCGTCGGCTTCTAGCGTCGGCTTCTAGCGTCGGCATCTAGGATGCCTGCGCCCACAGCTTCTGCACGAGGGCGACCAGCTGCGGCGGCGGCGCCTCCGCCGAGGGCTCAAGAGGGGGGAG